GCTATCCTTTCCTGTTTCCCAGCCATTATAGTTTTTGGCAAACTTGTCCACTCAGTAAATTTCCACTGCAGCAAATTCAGTTTTAAATTTCTCTTTCAATATTAAATTTTGAAGATCTTTCCTTTACTTCTGTCATACTGTATCCCCATTCTTCATTTTTTCTTTTGTTGCTGATAAGAGAAAGAAGTGAAACACCTATATTTGTAATCTTTGCTTTGTAAGAGAAAATTGTTGAATGTGAAAGAAAGAAAAAAGAGTGATATTTGCAGATGGAGGATCAGTTCATTTTATAATCAGATTACTATATTGTTTGGATGGGGAGAAGAACCCTGTTAGTCTGTGGCAACAAAATAGAACATCATCAGAGTTTGGAAGGGATTGTGAAGGAGATCAAGCAGAAAACTCTATACTATATCAGACAAATGACTGTCCAGTCTCTTCTTAAAAGTCTCCAGTGATGGAGCACCCACAGCTTCTGAAGGCTAGCTGTTCCACTGTTTAATTGTTATTGCTAAGAAATTTCTCCTTAGTTCTAAGTTACTTCTCTCCTTGATTAGTTTCTTGTCTTGCCTTCTGGTGCTTTGGAACATGAGTTGACCCTCTCTTATTCCATTCATAGACATGAAGTCTGGTGGTGTCTTCAGGATTAACCCATTTTATTGGAGTTGCTATTCATAAAAGTTTATATCCCAATAAAGTGGGTCAGTTTGGAAGGTACTAGCAAATTCCATTATTTATTTTATGGGTTAATTAATTAATTTTAATTGATAGGTATTATTTTCCCCCTATTCCCCCTACCTTGACATGGTAGAGGCTGGATATTTTACAATTTTTTTTTTAATGGCTAGTCTTTCTTTTGGAACAGGAGATCATTGAGGACTGCTTTTGCTTTTTTTTTTTTTTTTTTTTTTTTTAGGTAAATAGGGATTAATATTCTTGCTGCAGTGCAAGGCCATGATAATTTTTGGTAGGTTTCTTCATGTTTTTCTCTGATGTATCAAACTATATTTTTCTCTTTTAGGCTTCTGTTCTAAACCCCAGCATGTTTCTTTTCTTTTGTTTTGTTTTCTAGAGCAGAATTCATGTGGCCTTGGCAGGCTGTAAATTGTATCTGTTTTTATATGTAGCTTCTTTACAAAAAAATAGTAATAATAAACGAAACAAAACAGGTAAGAGGAATAAAATGTGAAAGTGGAGCGGTAGGTTGTTGACTTTCTATAGATCAAGTGAGTTGGATGTTCCTCATAAATTCTAATCTTTTATATCTTTATGCCAGAGATATATTTCTACAGCATAAAACAACTTACTTTTTTAAAAAAAACAACAAAACAACTCTCATAAATTTCCTAGGAGACATCTTCATCACATTTCAGGAACCCGTGCTGTGCCCATGTACCTAACAGTTCTGATCCAAACAATTTCAACTTTTTGGATGTGGAATGATTATGTTCATTTGCATTTGAATGCAGATTTATCTAATTTAATATTTCCAAATCAATACAAGAATGGAAACTGAGATATTCAGAATTCAGAGATTATTTGCCAATAATATAAAATGAATATAATTGGAAAGTGTATCAAATAATGAATATATTTCCAAAAGTGTAGTAAAAAAATAGTTTGTATACACTGTGAAATCAAATTTGAGTTGGTCACCAGGAGCAGAGATTTATTCTTCCAAGCTTTTGGACTCATGCTGGAGCCCATCTTCAGGGAATTTCTCTACTGGAATATGTGCTTTGGGCTGTTCTATGAGTCATGTTTATGTGATGCCTTCCTATTGGCTGATTGGTGTGTTGATGGCTGGCTGTTGGTTGTCATTTCCTTGGGCTACCAAGCCCTCGGTTCCTAAGTATTTGATAAGCTGGTGGTAAATCAGCACTCCTGTTAACTGACAAGGGCCCCATTTCCCAGACTTCACTCATTTCCCTGGCTATTTTTGTACCTACATGGCCAATGATCTTAGTTCCTGTGAAATTACATGTGTGTCCATGTTCATTGCAATGGGAGACTACCAATGAGTTTGGGTCTCCTCGTTGGACTGCTTGCTTGTGTTCTTGCAATCTGGTGGTTAGTCACTCCCACTCTCAACCTATTCGGGGTCTTCCAGGTAGTATAAGGGAAATCAGATCCTTCAGTCATATCTCCTTTAATATTATTTCTTAGTCAGTGGTCTCCTTCCTCCATCTTTTAATTCAATTTTGTTCCAAGAATATTTGTTCTAGCCATAAAGCTGTTCCTAGATCCAAGTCAACAAGCTTGGGGTGTTTGTCCATTCAGAGAATGTCAAGGATCATTCTCTTGCTTAGCTCTCTCAACATCTGCCACTACTTCTCTCCTGATCTTGGATGAGGCAATGCCAGAGAGAGAACACATTTTCTCAATTGGTGTAGGTTTGAGATATCCTATCACTAAGCATACTGCTTCGTTGACAGCCATGTCAACTTGTTTTATTTTCAATTAGAGGACTTTTTTTAAAGACAGGTAGGACAAGGACCCTGTATTGCCAAGGCAAGTGAACATCCATGGCTGTCCCATTGTCTATTTATTGCCTCTAGGATTAAGAGCTAAGAAGAATTCAATTTTAGTAGCAGCATGGAGGAACAATTTTTAGCTTTCTTCTAATTTCTCATCTTATAAATCGCATGATATTAATTTAGCAAGGGAGAAAAAAGCACTAATACCTACATGCACTTCCATGTACATTTCTTCTCAAGTGTACCTTTTTTTCCCATACTTAGCTCAGAATATAGCCCTTCAGCAGATAATTTTCTCATAGGAAAATACATTTTTGTCTGAATACTTCCCTAATAAAAGCATGGGGGTATATGCTGCAGTAAAGTATAGATTTGGGGCTGGTATGTGAACTAAGTTTTGTACAATGCTGCAAAATTCTGTAAAGTTCAGATTTCAGTAACATTTTGGCCTCTAACACATTCATCAAGAACATGGAGACGCAAGTGTAGTCCTCTCCTAGGCACATATGCTGGTTACATGTTTTTGAACCAGCCTTTCCCTCTCAACCCTGATTGGGTAGTTGAAAAACATCTATCAACTCACACTGGACCAGGATGGAATGTTACCCTGGAGCCTTCTGTATTGTTATGTCTTATCTTCTCTGTAGAATTTGCATGAGGACAATGAGATGTTCTGGGATTTTCATTTTCCTAAGGACTTTCCACAACTTTGCATGGTCTATGCAATGAAAGCCTTTTTTATAAACAGTCACCAGTTGACTTCTTTTGACAATTGTTGACTTTCTCAATTATTCCGCATGCAACCCCAATAATGTCTCTTATTTTCCAGTTTTTTCTAAAACCATATTAAAAATCTGGTATTGCCCTTGTCATATAGGGTTCTAACATTTAACTGGTGAACTTAAGGACATTGTGTGCTGCTTTGCAAATTCTGTTAAGTCTCCTTTCTTTAGCACTGCTATATAGATTGATCTCTTCCACTCTGTTGATCACTGTGTTGCTTTCCACATTTGTAGACCTAGTTTTATTAGAACCTTAACTGATTCTTCTTCTGTTGCTTGCTATATTTCTGTGGATATTGTATTTCCATAGCTTTGTGACTTGGCAATTACTGGAAAGCTAAGCTAACGTCATCTCCTCTAGCTTTATAAGGATGAAATATCTTCAAAGTTATAAGATGTTAACTTGTCACTTGTACCAAAGGTTCCTTCCACCTTTGTTTATTCTTCTTGGAATCATTTACTCTCCATTTGGCATGTTTCAGCATACTTGCTTTGGCAGAAAATAAATAATTTCTTCATATCTATTTGCTATACCTTACAATCCAAATGCATTTTTTCTTACTATTTCCAACTTTGACATTCTAGTCTCTAGCCATAAGCAGCACATCTTGCTTGTAACTGTGCCTTTACAACTTCAGATTTTCTATTCTTTCTTTCTTTCTTTCTTTCTTTCTTTCTTTCTTTCTTTCTTTCTTTCTTTAACATCAGCAACTCTGTTTCTTTAATCTAGTTACACCACAAATGCCATTAATATCTGAACAATCCTCAGCTGCTTATTACCTATTTGTTTGATTCTGATAAAAATAAAAAATGAATGCTTTAGTATTGTCATTTCTCACATATCATGAAATTATGCCCTTGCCATTGTCACTAAAGTGACCTTCTGTTTTCAGTATCTTCCTATATCGCTGTTGCCCAGTATAAGTTGCTACTTGCTTTAACTGGGCAACTGGCATGACTGCATGGGTAACTTTCCTAAAGTATATACTCTTGGCATTCATTTCTGATGTTCTTTACTCTCCCAGGAACATGCCATCACCACCATCACCACCAAGATGAGGCAATATATTGTTGCCCAATATATTAAGGGGTTCTGTATCCAGTTCTTGCAGTTTATGATGGCAGCATAATTTATAGAAGTAATGCATGAATGCATGATAATATGAACCAATCATAGATCCTCCATGTTTGGAGAAGGTCTGGTACATTAAACTTCACAGAACCAAATGCACTATTTTATGGCGGTGGCATAAATGGCTGTTCATGCTAATCACATTCAAATGATACATTTGATTTGTTTATCAGTTTAAACAGCTGTCAGAACATGCAGTCAAATCAAATCAACATTTTCATTCAAAGCATGGATGAGATTCATTCAGTTTTCTCAATTGTCAAATCTGTTTTGATCTGAAATCAGCTTCAAGTTGTGTATCAGTGCTGGCTTTTCATAAAGAGGTTGCATTTTTGTCACATTGGGGGGCAGAGGTTTGATAATCCAACACCATATAATCAATTATTCTGAAATTAAAGCCAATTCACATCCTTTTCAATATGGACAAATTATCTAGTATCAGACGTCAATCATTCACTAAAGAGACAATCCTCAGTATTTGTTATAATGAAATAGAACTAATCCTGAAATAATTTTCTTGGTTGCTTCAGTGCTTAAATAAATCTCTGCAATTCACGTCAACAATTCAGTTAACAAAGACAACCCATCAACATATTTCTAATATTTCAGAGCCCCCCATTGGACAGATGCACCCTCCACATGGAAGTGTAACCCCTCAGAAGAACAGCAATCTTCTTGTCGTTATTGTTGTGACTATCGGGGTCATCACTATCGTTGTGGTCGTGATTGTGGCTGTGATTTGTACAAGGCGTTCATCAGCACAGCAACGAAAGTAAGTCATTTGAACATCTTTGATCTTTGTCAATTCGCCCAAGGGCTCGAGATATTTAATATCATTTCATTGTAGGGAGCTTTCCCATTGATTTGATTTCCTGAATTGTGTCAAAGTGTTGATGGCACTACCAACAAGTAAAAACAGTCTAGCACATTTCTGTGACTTGAAGTGCAATCCAGATGGTCACTTAAATATACCACGATAATTAAGACGTACAGCAATATTCTGAATAAATGATTATTTCCTTCTTACTTAACTATACCATGATGATTAAGATTGCTGGGGCCTTTTCCCATTGATGTAAATCTTGATAGCACTACGGACAGGTAAAAATAGAGTAGCACATTTCTGTGATTTGGATGGTCACTTAATTATGGTGATGATTAAGAAGTACAGTAATATATTGAATAAACGATCATTTCCTCTTTCTCAAGATAGGAATTCAGACTCACCTTTCCCGGAGCAGGAATTAATAGAGCTTTAATATCCCCAGTAAAGTTGGCAATCTACATCCTCTGAAGTTCTTTATTTTTAATTCACCAAAACATTACCTAGTTAATGTATTGAATTTAGCAACATGGTTCCATGAAATTTTCAGATGAAAAACACAAAATAACTGTAACGTGAACCCTGAAATGGTTAAAACCCAAAGAAAAGATTGAATTCCCATCTCCACAAAGGAAAAAAATGGAAGGGAACTGAAACTCTTGGTTCATATGGGAGATATAGTCTGGCCTATTTTGCCAAATATCTGAAGTGCAGGTCTCTGATGTATAAGATGAACAAGTGGAGAATGAATGTTGGAAGATGAATGGCCATTTATCTTATTTGAAATTTAAAAGCTTTAACAAAGCGATTGAAATACTAGACTGAAGACTTGACAGAACAAGAAGAAGAGATCTAGATATACTGAGCAGATCATTTTCTGATACCTATCATAATGACCATCATGACCATTGCTGAGAATTCAGGAAGTTGAAGTCCATACATCTAAAAGTTGCCCAGATGGGGAAACATTACTTTAAAATAACTCTACCCACTGTGATTGAACTCTGGGTCTTTGGTGATCCCTGAGCTTGGTTGTTTTCTTACAGATGTTTCATTACCCAATGAGGTAACATCTTCAGTGCTAGGCTGAAGATTACTAGGCTGAAGATTACTAGTTGGGTAATGAAACATCTGCAAAAAAACAACCAAACTCAGAGAGCCCCAAAGAACCCACAATCAAACCAATGTCAGATCTTCCATTAGTGTTATGAAGGTTTGCTTATGATAGCCCACATCCTTGTCTCTTGTGTGTCTGCTAGACTTCCCTTAACTCTCCCATTTCAAACAATTTGTGCTTTCAGTTCCTTACCATATCTTGTCCCAAAGGTGCCTTTTCAAAAATCAACTAGACTTTGTTTTTCCTTGAAGATGTTTCGCTTCTCATCCAAAAAGTTTCTTCAGTTCTGAAGAACTAAAGAAACTTTTGGGATCAAAAGCGAAACATCTTCAAGGAAAAACAAACTCCAGTTGCTTTCTGAAAAAGCATTTTTGGGACAACCATGACCTAAATAACTGAGAATCTCCATAAACACTCACCATTTCTTCTTTTCATGTGATTAACAGCCAGCGTAGTGAATTCAAAAATATGGTTTTTACTTGAATGTAAAAGTATTTCCAAAATAAAATAGAATTTTATTGTATAAGGGTATCTTCTTGTTCCTTGAAAAACCATTAGTTTGCACCCATTAAAGTAAACAGCTAGCTTGAATAAAGTCAATCTTACAAGTGAAGGCAGAAAATTAAGCTCCTGTTAAAATGCCTTCCAGCCTATTTTTTTTCCTAATAGTGACAAGCAACCATTAGTTTGGGACAGGCTTTGAAGATGAGTAATGAAAAGGACAAAGGATCATCCAGGTGCTCAGAAAATATATTCGCCATTTTAGACTCTCAGCCATTTTTCCTTTGGATAAATTTCTGCTTTCAGCTTTGCACACAATATCCCTGAGAGCCAGCATTGTCATTGGCTCTCTAACACTGAGTTTAAATGTACGTTGGTCCTGGGTGGTCACAGGGAAGCTGTTCAACTATTCTGTACTCTTTACTGACAATAAGTCATAAAGACAAAATTATGTGTTCTTATTACTACATCCACTGTATCTGAGCCAAGGGAGCCAGCATTGTCTGAAGACATTTCTGTGATCATGTGGTCAACATGACTATATGCCAACATGCACAGAACCATCTTACCTTCCCATAGAAGTGGTGCCTATTTACCTACTCGCGTTTGCGTGCTTTCTAACTGCTAGATTGGCAGGAGCTGGGGCAAATAACAGGTGCTCATCCCATCATGCGGTGCTCAGGTCTTGAACCCTGGCTGTCAGCTTTCTAGCCAACAAACTCAGCATCTTTAACCGCTGAGCCATCATGCCCCCTTATGTAAAAGGAAAGGAGGATGGAAGAGCAGCATTTCAATGCAGAAATAAATATCCTCAGCTAAATACTATCGTGGCAAGCTTATATTTCTTTTGTGTCAGTTTGCCATTGTTTGAGTAGAACTTTTGAGTTGCTGGACCTTTTATATGATACAGTAATTGATTCAAAGTTCAGAACTAAAACTGGCATTTATACATAGCCACTAAATAAGAATCCTGATGCCAATCCTTTTTAAGCCGTTCTTTATTCCTACGATTTAAACATTTCAAACTCCAGAGATGTAAAATTGCCTCTAACATTCAGAGATGTTGTAAAGGAAAAGGAAAGGGAAAGGGAGAACTTTGATTTTTAATTATATTGGTGAATGCAAAAGTAAGTTCCTTTCTTTCAAAAACTAACTGTTAGCTCTTGCAAAAAGTAACTCTGATCTCTTTTTGGTATAGTCCTGTTTGCACTGGTTTTCCAGCTACAGTCCTTGTTGCAACTTTTATCTCTCGGTGTTTGTATTTGCATTAAACCAATTGTGTTTCTTTTACTGGCAATGCATACCACAAAGAGATCTGATGCTGCCCTTTTCTTGGTATTGTTATAGATATACTAGATACATAAGTATATACCCATCAAGCATTTCCCTTTTGAGATGAATAACTTTATGCAAAGAATAAAAAAGGGAGTAAGGAATAGAAAGTCAAAGAAATTAAAAGCAAGAGATGAGAAAAAGAAATGTGAATATAACTAAATCTAGTTATGCTAGCACCATCCATAATGCAAGTTTCATATCTTCTGTCCTTGCACACAATTGATTTCCGTTGCATTCATATATCATAACAAACAGGATCTTTTGTTCCTCAAACTTCTTACATCACTCTTTTTTAAAATCTTGTCAACTTCACCCAACCATGTCTTTCCAGTTTTCCTCTTCTCAGCTCACTCATTGTCACATTTGTTTTGTAATTATGGAGTCCTTAGTGCTCTCTAAACTTGCTTGTTTACTTGCAAACATTTCATTACTCAATTAAATAACATCATCAGTGCAAGTTATGTGAGGTTTGTTCCCTATTTATAAATTTGGCATTGTCTTAATTCCTACTCATCTGACATTACCTGCTGGAGAAGATGTGTTTTGGTCTTCTTGTCTCTTTTGAATGATGTATAAATATAATTTATTTCTGTGTGTCTATTGATGGATGATTTGTCTGAATACTAGTCCTCTAGGAATTCCTTAATTGTTTTGGATTTAGCTTAGTGTAAATGCTCCCATTTTCCCAGTTGAAACTATGGTTGAATCGGTCCACCTATTTTGAAGTTAAAGAGTTTTCATCATGTCTTCTGACTGCTAGTTGGTGTACACAGAAGTCCTCTGCTAGGCTTCTGACTCTCTATCCTAGGTACACTTTTACAGTCCTTATAAAGTATGTTGTAGATCACGGGTATCAAACTCGCCATGTCACATGATGTGTCGCGACGTATCACAACTTTTTTTGCATTGCCAGAGCTGGGGTGAGCGTGGCCTCTCTATGATGCAACCGGCCCACAGGCCAGCAGTTTGACACCCCTGTTGTAGATGATTCCTATTTATTTCTTCTGTGGCTGCTGGATCTTTTAGGTTTTCTTAAAATATTTGGGAGAGCTTTAGTTAGCTGTGGTAATGCCTTGTGGTTGCAATAGTCTGTCTGTTGTTTCTGAGATATTTCTGATGCATGGGAGTGTTATCCTTTTCACAGTTTGTGTGAGCTGTGCTGTAGAGGGTTGACCAGTCAGGCACTTTTTAATAAAATTGTGTGAATATCCATTTTGTTACATGGTTTGGTTCCTTTTTCTGGTGTTCTTGGTTGCTGCAATGGATTTGTACTCATCTAAATAATATTATTACACAGTTTACACAGGTTAGGTTGTTATTTTAGTAATGGAACAGATTTTACTAATGAAGTTGTTTTAGTAATGGTTAGTCTGGATTCTTTTTCAATAGACTTGTGTTTCTAGTTTGCTGTCATTTCCTCTGCTGATGGTATCCTGGGAGGATAATGCATATCTTCTTCCCTTGTGAATTTTATTCCTTTGAAGATATTGATAATTTCATGTGTCTTTTTTAGTTGTTCCTTTTTTATTATGATGAAGGTGTTCTCTCCATAATGGATCTATACTTTTGATTGTATGTGTGGGAATGCAATAGTTTCTAGATGCTGCTATGTCCCTGCTATGATTCCTGACAGTGGTGATCCCATGGGTGTTCCTCTGATTTATTGGTATATTTCTCCGTCAAATTGAAATTAGGTAGTGAGACAGAGTTGATGAAGTCCATGATTCTGGATATTTCAAACTTAGAGAACTTGGCTAAGTTGGGAGTGTTGTGTAGTATTGGTGTCATGGATTGTTTCTCTAGTTTTGGATCTATGAATGTGAAGAATGCTGCTGCATCAAATGAAACCATAATTTAATCTTCTATTTTATTTTATGAAAGTCATACAGTGAGGAATTGATAGAATATTCACTTCTCTCTGTGAGATGTCCAAGATTTTTTCTAAGTCTTTTGGCTATATTGTATGTTTGCATTCCTGGTAAAGATGTATTTAGAT